TTTAATAATCGATAGCTGATATTATGCAAATTTATAGTATGTATTGTTTTCGGTTACCACTTCAATGGATTCTGTAAAAAAAATGTGAATTGCATAGATGGTACTATTATCAGGCTAATTTTTAATGAGTTGATCTTTCGCTCTATTCTAATTTTGTAACAAAAATGTTAACGCCATTGAATATTCGATAATCCGAAGTATGTGTAGCACTGTTCGAATCTTACAAAAATAGGTTTTCAACTTTTTACCTAATGTTCACTAGATAGTCCAGTGTGGATAGTTTTGTAGAAAATTAAATTCATTAGTTACTGGCATATGTTTTTCTTTTCAAAAATGATCAATCATGTCAAGTGTGCTGAGACATTAAATACTATAAATACTAATGAGATTAATCAATACTTTTTGGATTATGACTTCGAAAATAAATTGAACAATTTTATTTCCAATATATATATATATATACATTTAGACCATTTTTTTAAGTAGTTTGTAGATGTCTTTATTTTTTTTTAAATACAAATTCTAATCATACTAATTTGTTTCAATTATTTGCTCAACATCATATAATATAAGTGTTAGTTCAGTTTGTTCAATAATTGAATGAAGATCATTAATATGTGATTTCAGAGTTTGAGCATGAAATGTTAACATACTCATAGAAATAAGCCAAAGTATTATATTAAGATATCGTTTTACAGCGTCATAATGACCATATTTGTAGAGAAGATATTTCCATATTACTTCTGCATACTTATTTTGAATCTCTAAAACATTAATAGGATTTGTTAAATCTTTCGATATATTTGAATAATAACTACAAGTATTTTCAGAGAAAGCAAACAGTGAAATTGACAGTTTGGCCAATACAATAACGGGATCAATAAACTTTCTTGCCCAAACATGAATATCCATTGTACGTTTTCCATACTTTACACTCATAGCGTTTAAGAAAGCATCGAGACCATATAAATAGAAATATTGCATAACGAATGTACCACTTATGCAGCACACATTGTCAGCAGCATTACGAAGTATTATGGAACGATCATCCGATGATAGTTTACGAAAATCATCATTGGAACGAAGGTATAATCCTGCTGTTTCGTAAAGAGATACTAAGAATTCCTCTAAAAGTACTTTGTAAATTACATAATTCGATTGTGAAGCATCGTGTGTATCTATTAAACGTTGACAAAATGGTAAAATCTGAGATTCTTTATAACAATGAAATAAATTTGTGAGAAGTGTCCATTGATTAGTAGTTAATAATGATTGATCTGATTGTAAAAGATTCAATGTTGGAAGCTAATAAATAAATAAATAAATAAAACAAAAAATATGTTATACTGACAGCAGCTCAAAAAAGTGACAGTAATGCTTTAATATCGTATAGTAAGCTTTAGAAGACTCTTTTTTTATATGCAGAAATAGTAAAAATAATACTCTATTTTTCTATGATATATGAGGGTGTGGGTGTGGGTGGGTGTGTGGTGTGGGGGTGGGGGTGGGGGTGGGTGTGGGCATCTCTGTTCAAACATCCATACTTACACACCCACACCCACACCCACCCTCAATTCAATGATAGGTATCGCTGATTTGAACAAGCAGAATCGGTGAAACAAAATATGTAATTCCTTCAAATAAAAAAAAGAAATATATTTAAAATACAAACAACATATCATATGACAACATACCTTACATGTGAATGTATGTTCGTCTACTCTGTATATCAACTGAACATGTGAGAGAGAGAGAGAGAGGAAAGAAAAAAGAAATAGGTCAAGCAAGGAATTTTCTTTTTTTCTTCTCTCGCCCATAAGTCATTGTTCATGTTATCATTAATGATCAATGATAATATGTTAAATTAATGTGTGAAAAAATTAAGCTTTAATCTAGACACACACATATATTGAGATAAATTCATT